TTTCTTCGGGGCGGGGGGAAGGTGGTAAATGGGGGGAAGAGTTTGTTGTTTATTTTTATATTTACAAAGCGCAGCTTTTTCCTGGTGCCGGGCATCGGAAGAGTGGCAGGATGTGACCTTCATCCATCTCCTCCTCGCTCACACAATACGGCCCCGGGCTCCGCCGGCTCTGTCCCCCCGCGGGCGGCGGGCACCTCCCGCGCCGCCCCGCCGGCACCTGGCGCCCGCCGGCACCGGCATCGCTGCCCCCAGCTGGGCCCCGCCGCTCACACCGCGAGAAAAAGGAAAATAGAAAAAAAAATCGAAAAAAAAAATAATAGCAAGGTTGCCGGCTTCCTCTCTGGAAAACAAGCTGGAGCTGAGCGGGACAGCAGCGTGGGAAGGAGGGAGAGAGGGGTCCCCTGGAGGCCCTGGGGAGCCTCCCCTTGTCGGGGAGTGGCCTGGGCACGCTGCCGCCTCCTTCACTCCGTGTGTGGGGCAAAGCAGCCTTTTTCCACCAGGCCTGGGGCAAATGAGCTCTGTTCTCCCACGCAGAGGTCAAACACACCTTGGGCCCCGTCCAGATGCAGTCCTGGCATAACCCGGGGTGGAAGGCAAGGAGGGGATGCAGAAAACATCTGGTTCCCTCCCCTGACACCGTGGGGAGCACCCAGCAGGCAAGAGCCCACCCAGACCCCAGCAGAGTCGCGGAACGGGTTCTGCTCTCTGTCCCCATCCCTCGGAGCATCCCGATCGCTGCGGGCTCCGCTGCCGGGATCGCTGCGGGGCTGATCAGCAGAGCCAGCCCAGGTGTGGAGCCGGCAGTGCCCGGCCTCCCTGGGCCCGGGCCGGGATGGATGGAGACACAACGCAGCGAGCTCTCCTTGTTTTCCTTCTTCCCACGAAGCACCACGATCCCACAGCTCCTCGGTTGGGAAGGGACACGCTCCGTGCCCGGCCCCACCCGTTTGTGCAGAGCAGAGCCTGAGGTGACAAAGCTGCAGGGACAGACCTCTGATGTGACCCCAAACCAGCGCTGGCACCCACCGGTGGTACTCGCTGGTGGCAAAGGAATTGCTGCAGGATTTTACATGGACAAGGGGTCCTTTACCCCAGAGCACCTTCCCCAGAGGATCCCTCGGTGTGGCTGAGCTCCCCTCAGAGCTGCCCGAGAGCCCAGGGCAGCTCTGTTCAGGGAGCTTGAACAGGGGCTGGCACAGCCAAAGTGACCCCCAAACACCCTCCAGCACCACGGTGGCAAAGCTGGACACTGCCAGCTGGCACAGGGCTGGCATGTCCCAGCCCCCTGGTGACAGCCTGGATCCTGGAGCAGGGGTGGTGCTAGAGCATGGCACGCCACAGCATGGAATGGAACAGCATGGAATAGCATGGAATGGTGTGGCACAGCTTGGTATGGCATGACAGCACAGTATGGAGGGGTGTAGCATGGCAAGCATGGCACAGCGTGTCACAGCGTGGCACAGCATGGCACAGCATGGCACATCACCAGGGCTGCCCTTGCTCTCACAGAAACACCACCCAGAGACACCAGCACCTCAGTCTGACCCTGGCCAAGCATCCAGCAGCAGAGAGGAGGGCTCATTAATTTCTCTTTAATTCCCCAGCACCCCCCATCCCATGAGCTGGTCAGTGCCCACCCAGCCCAGGCAGGAGCAGGTGCAGCCCCAGCGGGGTACAGCACCCACCAGCCCAGAACAGAGCACCCTAAAACCCGCGGGACCCCCCCAGCACCCAGGGACCCCCCAGGTGTGCTGGGCAGGGGGTGCCCACATGGGCACAGGGCTGGGTGTGCTCACACCAGCCCTGGCCAGCACCCTTGGTTATCCTTACATTTGGCATCAGCTGCTTCCATCGGGCTCCATAGGGGAGGGAGGGAGAAAAGGAAAACTCAGCTCAGGGCGATTTAATAAGTTCAGTGTTACGAGCTGGGGAAAAGCTGTGGAACACACAAGTGGTAACGCAGGATTAATCTTTCCTTTAGTCTTGGGAATTATGTTTTCATTAATCCTAATTTTTCCAGATGTTTCACTCCTTATACCATGTTCTTCAAAGCCTCTGTGGCTGCAAATTCTAATGAAGCCATGAGAACATTTTAAAGAGAAAGATTCAAAGCTTAAATTGCTTCCTTTTTTTTTTTTTTTTTTTTTTGGACTTGGGTTTTTCTTTTTTTTTTTTTTCTTTTTTTTTTTTTCTTTTTTTTCCCCTCCCTCTTTTCCCCCCGGTTGGGCTGTCGGGGAGTGCATGCGTGTGCGGTCCCAGCGCCTCCACATATTGTGTTACACAATGTGCTAACAAGATGGAGAAGGCCACTCGGTCCGCGTGATGCCGGGGTGACGTCTGTGGGGCTTTGTGTCCCCCCCGGCCGGCAGGACCCGGCTGCGAGGGGCTGGGGAGGAGGGGGCTGGCCCGGAGCTCCTGCAGCATTCCCGGTGATCACTCCTGGCTCCTGCAGGCAGCAGCAGGGTGGGTGTTGTAGGAGCCCCGGAGGGGATGGAGCAGAGCCGGAGCTGCGCAGGTAGCCCGGCTTTGTGGCAGGGTCTTTAGGGAACGGGGAATTTTGGGGTGCTCCAGGCTGGAGGGAGATGGGGTTAGAGAGTGATGCCCAGGTCGGGGGTGTTGTCAGCAGTTTCCTCCCATCCTTGCAGGGATGAATTTGGAGCTCTCTCCTGCCCAGCAGCCATCTGGGTGCCAGTGCATCACCTCTGTGTGATGGGAGCACCCAGCCCCTCCGCTGCCACTGCAGCATTCCCGAGCCTTGCTCCCCTTCAGGCTTCTCTCTGCATCCATCCCCAGCCCGGCACGGGGGCAGGATCCGGCCGCCACCGCCCGGTGTCCCCTCCTGGCCGGGAGGGAGCCCTCGTCTGACGCAGGAGGTCAGGCAGGACGATCGTAACAACCCTGCCGGGCTCCAGCACCCGGGATTCAGATCCATGTACTTATATGGCCTGCAGAACGCGGTGGGAGCATGACCAACGTCTGGAAATCCAGATATGACTAGATCCCTTCATTAGTAATTTCTTGTACATGACTTTCTAGACCATGGGGATTTGTTAAATTTGCAGGAGTGTTTCTCACAGTGCCATGGACTGGCTGCTGCCAGCATATATTGGCTCAGATCTGTCAGATCCTGTTGCCTTATATGACCCTCGGTTAATTCAGCTTTTCTTTGTATCCAGCCCTCAGCGGGGAACTCCTCCAGCAGTCGCAGCGTGGATCCTGCTAAAATGGTTCCCCAGTCCTCCTGCCATAAAACAACTGCCCCCCCCAGTGAAAGGGGGATGTGGGGGGTGGAATTCAATGCTCCCCTCCCTCCCCACTGCCCAGGCCCTCGCCAGATGCTTCCTCCATCCCTTGTCCTTCGGTGCCAAGAGAAAACTTGGTGTGCCTGAAAATGTGACTGGAGGGATTGGACCTTCTCCCCACAGGGACCGTGGCATCCCAGTGGTGCACCCTGCACTGTGGGGTTAATCATTCGCTGCCTTCAGGGGTGCTCCAGGGCTTGGGGGGGACTTTCACCATTCCAGCGACCTCTTGGAATTCTGACCTTCTTTTATGGGTGCCATAAAGGTTATTTTTTAATCTGCAACCTAGCAGGGTTTCCCCCCTCTCAGCTGCGGGGTCTTTGGTCCGGGGAGTACTTGGGCATCACTGCTTTCTGTGCCTCATGTGGTTTGGGAGGTGGAAGGGCTCACAGGATGGCCTTTTCCCAAGGGAAGGGGATTGTGGTACCCAACAGCTCATCAAAGGAATGTGGTGCCCTGTGGATGTGGCAGAGCTGAGGGTGCTCCGGGTGGGGATGTGAGGTGCTGTGGGTCACAGGGAATCCCAGATACCCAGAGACACATCCCAAATCCCCAAGTGCTGCCAGAGCAAGATTTCCAAGTGGAAAAAGATTGTGTGTCCAAGGACATCCTGCAGACCCTGCAATTCCCTGTTGCCCACTGACTGAGCCGTGCCGCCCCCTCAAGCACCCCTCCCCAGGCACTGAGTCCCTGCACAGGAGCTTCCCCTGTGTCCCCAGCATCTCCTGACCTGGCAGAGCCCAGGGAGTGACCCCGACCTCCTGGTGCCCTGTGCCTTTGTCCCTTGCCAGAGATGATGGCCAGATCCAGGAGATCCAGGAGAGCATTTACATCCCCAGCTTCCCAAACTGCTCTTTGTCCTCTCCAGCAGATCTGGCAGTGCTGGGATGCTCCACAAGGATGCATCCCTCTGGCATCTTCCTCCTCCTTCTTGCAGGAGGCACTGAGCCATAACCTTGAAGCCTTCCAAGCACTGTGTTTCTTAAAAGTCCTGATCTATAGCTTTTCCTTTTAGCATTTGATTTCACCACACCTTTAAAAAGCTGCATACTAAAGCAGGAAGAGGAAGGCTGAGATGCTGTGGGGAGCAGGAGAGGAGCAAGAGGGCAGCACACACCTCTAGCCACCCTGAGAGGAGCCCAACCCCTGTTGACCCAGAGCCAAAGTGCTTCCTCAGCTCTGTAAGAGCAGCCCAGCTCCTCCATCACAGGAGCACAACCTGCTCCATGCATCTCTCTGGGTTTGTATCTCACCCACAGTCAACCAAAGAGGTTTCACTGTACCAGGCTGGCTCCTTGAGAATCCCCTTGGTGGGCTGGTGTGGTGTGCAAAGGGACACAGGTGAGGCTTTGGGGGCTGAAATCCCCTTACTTTGCCTTTTTTATACCAGCAGCCAGGGGAGGCTTTTCCTGCATCCCTTTGTCCTTCATGCCACTGCCTGGTGGAGCTGGGGGCTGGCAGCAGCCATGGGAGGTGGGTCAGGCTGTGCCCCTGTGCAGGCAGAGGCAGGAGCAATGGGAGCATCCTGCCTACTCACCCCATCCCATCCCATCCCATCCCATCCCACCCCATCCCATCCCATCCCCAGCCACATCAGTGACAGCAAAGATCTGAATGCCACCATGAAGACCCCAGCCCCACATTTCCTTGGGTGAGGGAACCCCATGGGAGCATCCACTGCCGTTAGCACCACCAGCCATGCGGTAGGGACATGTTAGGGGCAGACAAAGCATCCCAACTCCCATCCCAAAACCCCCAGAGCTCCCACCACCCCTCTTTGCTGTTGGCCATGGCTTGGGCGCAACACAGCCCCATCTCACCCGTCAAAGACACTGCCTTCAAAGCACCACCTCCTCCTCTCTGTTGCCCCCATTTCCAGCATCTTTGGGTTGAAAAATGGCCGGGGAGGGTTTGGCAGAGGAGCCTCGTGCAGATTATTCAACAATTGTTTCCCATTTTGCGCCCTCGCCTGCCTCATCCTCCAGTAACAATGACGAAGAGCGGCGCGGAGCCAGCGCCCGCGGCAGGGGTGTTGAGATCAGGGACAGCACAAAAATATCTCCTCTCTGGAACAAATATTTACCAACCCTTCTGCCTTTTGTTCTTGTGGTTCTCATATATTTTTTTTTTAATTTCTTTTTTTCCAGACATTCACTGGCAAAATGTCACACTAAGCAGCAACCCAGAAACTTCGGGGTAGCTGCTTGGCTGCTCTGGGCTTTGTTTTTCTCGCGCGCTAATTGTTAATGAATATCCAGCCATTTAAGCCAATGCAAACCTGTGAGAAAACGATCTTTGCAGCCCTGGCTTTGGAGCTTTATGGGGCTTTGCAAAATCCAAGTGGTGGATAAGGAAAACGTGCATCATCCCGCAGAATGGGGTGGTGGCGGTGCCAGAGCCAACCTGGAGTGGAACGTGGCAGAGCCAGAGCAGGAGCTGGCATTGTCTGAGCTGCCAGCATCACTCCAGGGCTGCAGCAGGGAGGTCCCATTCCTGGATGGGGATAAGTTCAATGGGGATGAGTGCCGTGGTACCCTCATCCCTGGGCAGCTCCTCACCAAACTCCTTCTCCCTCATCTACCCCACCACAGGATTTTCTTGTTTCCCTTCAAAATCATAATGCCTCTCATGTCCACTTTTATGGCGGCCAAACAAGAACATGTGGTTATTTTATGGGTGCTGTGTTTAAAGAAGGGAAGGGCAAACCCCTCCTCTTCTGGAACATAAACCTGGATCTTTGGTTAATAATTAACCGTGGCCATAAAACCCTCGATGTAGGAGCAAGTGGAGCTCACCCCAGAAGCACTGCTGGGCTGTCACCTCACCCCAGTGCCCAGCTGACCACTGACCACCATCCCCTCCTGTCCGCTCCAGGATGGCTGTGCCACCCTCCACCTATCCCCGTCGCCTCCTGCCCCTCTTCCTGGGGCTTTTCCAGGGTGCCCTGCTCCTCTTCTTTGCCCTCTTCGTCACCTATGATGAGCCTTCGGCGCAGGTGGAGGATACCAGCTTGGTGGCCAACCAGGTCTACAGCACCTTCCCCTTCTTCCAGGACATCCAGGTGATGCTGGTGGTGGGGCTGGGACTCCTGCTGACCTTCCTGCCCCGCTACGGGTTCAGCGCCCTCACCCACAACTTCCTCCTGCTCAACTTCTCCGTGCAGTGGGCACTGGTGCTGCAGGGCCTGCTCCACCACTTCCACCATGGCCAGATCCACCTGGACCTCCACAAACTCCTCCTCTCTGAGTTCGCTGCTGTGACAGTGCTCATCTCCGTGGGGGCCATCCTGGGGAGGGCCAGCCCCTGCCAGCTGCTGGTCATGGCCACCTGTGAGATCCCCCTCTACCTGGCCAGCGAGTGGGTCATTGTCACCTGCCTGGGCGTTCTGGATGTGGGTGGCACCATCACCATCCATGTTTTCTCCTGCTATTTCGGCCTTGGTGTGTCCAAGGCTCTGTTCAGGGCAACACAGCAGCCACTGCACCCCAAGGAGACCCCAACAACCAGCTCTGACCTCATGTCCCTGGTGGGGACGCTCATCCTCTGGGTTTTCTGGCCCAGCTTTGTGGCTGTCCTGTGCCAGCCGGGTGATGCCCAGCACCGTGCCATCCTAAACACCCTGCTGGCCATGAGTGCCAGTGCCATAACCACCGTGGTGGCCTCCAGCCTGCTGGACAGGGACGGCAAGCTCAGCCCCGGCCACCTGCAGAACGGCAGCCTGGCCGGCGGGGTGGCCATCGGCGTGGTGGCCGACATGGCCGTGCCCCCAGTGGCCGCCCTGGCCCTGGGCAGCCTCTCGGCCGTGCTGTGTGTCCTCGGCTTCAGATTCCTCACCCCGCTCCTGGCGAGGAAACTCACACTCCACGACCAGTGCGGCATCCACAACCTCCACGGCTTGCCCGGCATCCTCGGCGCCGCAGCCAGCATCGTGGCCGTCCTGGTGGCGCACAAGGACGTCTCCGGGTCCCATCCCTCTCAGCTGTCCCCTGCTGGGGGCAATGCCAGCGAGGCGGTGGAGGGGCAGGGGGGGTCCCGCGGGGTGGGCGGGCAGGCGCTGTGCCAGGCAGCGGGGCTGGCGGTGGCCGTGGGTGCCTCGCTGCTGGCCGGGCTGCTCACCGGGAGCGCCCTCCGGCTGCCCTGCCTGGCCCGGCCGCCCGAGCGCCTCTGCTTCGATGATTTGCTGTATTTTAAAATCCACGATCAGGCTGAGAGCCCGGGGCCAGACAGCAGCGCTGAGGAAGGAGCCCTGGCTCTGAAGGAGCAGGTTTAGGCAGTGGCGTTCGTGCAGCAGCAGGGAGGGTCAGGGAATGTTACAGACAGGATCAGCAGGCGGGAGATGCTGCCTGCTCTCACTCCTGCCCCATGCCTGGAGCCAGCTGTGGAGGATGCCGGCACAGCTGGGTCAGCACCGTAGCACTGGTCACCTCTCTGTCCTCCCACCCTGCAGCTGCAGCCCCTCTCCCGTGTCCCAGTGGCTCCCAGCGCCCGTTCACTCCCGGCAGCAGCCAGAGAAACGACCTGCTCAGGGTGTCTCCCCAGGATGGTTAATAGCCCCCGAGGAGCCCAGACGGCCGCTCTGCAGGGCACTGGCCTCGGCTGTTTCACTCCCAGCGAGCGGCATCACCCTCAGTGCTCACCCCGACCCTCAGCTCCAGATTCCCCTGCCCACGCGGGCAGCACCTGGAGGAGGCTGCCAGCGCAGGCCACAGCTACAGGAAAGGAACTCAGCATCCACTGCCCGGAACGTGGAACTGCAGCAGCAGGGAGATGGCCCCAAGCAAAGGACTTTACAGGGATCTGATAACCTGAGCTGGGCAATTCACCCTCCAGGAGAGTTTGCAAAGGGAAGCGCCAACCCTTTTGACAACTGGTGCAGCAGTGAGGATGCAGCCCAAGCCTCGGAGCCTCGGAGAGAGAGCCAGGATGCAGGAGGCACCCGCAGCCCGCAGCACCCTCATCCCACCCCGAAGCTGGAGCTGGGAAAGCTGCGCCAGCATCCCAGGAAGAGCAGCGGCCCCATCCCATCCCAGCACGGGCAGCGAGCCGCTTCCACCCTGCGGAGGACAAAGGCTGCGGTCCATGGCTGGCATGCGGCAAGCTGGGAGCGCGGGGCCGCATCCTGCCCGGGGAGCGAGGGCTGTGATTCACATCCCCCCCGCCGTGAATCACCGCTGCCCCTGCGCCCCCACCGATCCCGCTGCTGCCGAGACAATGCGGGCCATGCTCCCGAGGGGGTCGAGGCCACCGAGCCCCCCGGCGCTGGCTGCAGGACTGGGGGGCTGCCGGCGAGGTTGGGGGTCCCCATCCCTGAGCGGGTGGGAGAGGGGCTGGATCCCTTCCACCCGGTGCAGCCCCAGGCGGAGCCAACACCAAGAGGGAGAGAGGCTGGGGAATTCGCCCTCCAATAATCACAAACAGGCTTGGGGGGCCGGGCGTGTTTGGTTAATTGTTAGAATAAAATATTGCCGAGCTCTGACAAAGAAATCCTGCCCCGCAGCCCGGCGCGGCCGAACAATGGGCCCCGGCGCAGGATGCTGCGGGCTGAGCAGTGGGGCCAGGGGCCTTGGGGGCGGGAGGCAGCTCGGTTCCCCCTTCCCCAAACGAGCCCCAGAAGCCCCTCATCTCCTTGGCAGCTCGGTGTCGATGTGCCCCATGACAGCGTGGAGCCATCGCAGCGGGGACCAGCCCTGCCCATCAGTGCCTGGATCCCGCTGGGCGCCGAGAGCCGCCGGGACCGGGTAGCCGCGATCCCACCGGGGCCGAATGGGCAGCACCAGCCCCTGTGAGAGCCCTCCCGTGAGAGCCCGGCAGGCCAGGTCCTGTGAGAGCCCTCCCGTGAGAGCCCCGCAGGCCAGGCCCCGTGAGAGCCCTCCCGTGAGAGCCCCGCAGGCCAGGCCCTGCATCGAGGCCTGCCCGGTCCGATGGCAGCTCCAGCACCGGGAGAGGGACACGGGGTCAGCGGCACCGGGGCTCAGACACCCTGTGGGGAAGGTGGAGGGGAGCCACATGCACAGGCGTTTACACACCTGTAATCACACACACGTGTGTGCACAGCCCTGCACTCACAACAGCCCAGGCCTGTGCCCAGACACACGGGCACACACACGTGCACACACACACGTGAACACACCTGCATGCGATGCACAGACACACAGACACACACATCTGTGCACACACACATGTACACACACATATGTGCATACACATATGTGCCCACACATCTGTGCACACACACACATGTACACACCTGCATCATGTGATGCACAGACACACATGTACACACACATCTGTGCACACACACATGCACACACACAGTGTACACACCTGCATGTAATGCATGGACACATGCACACACACATCTGTGCACACACACCCAGCACCCACTCACATCCACATGCAGGCACAGCCCCGAGGCTGTGAACCTCTTGCTGTCGGGGACAGTGGAGCAGCAGCCGCTTTCCAGCATCTCCCGGCCCTTCCCGGCGAGGATGAGGACGCAGGCTCCCGCTGAGCAGCCCGCGGCAGCCAGCGGGGGAGCGAGCAGAGCAGCGAGGGCGCAGGGAGGGGAGCACACCCGGAGCCGGGGCTGGGCACACCCCGCCTCCCGGCTGGCATGTCCTGGCACGGGCACCCCGGCACGCCGCGGCACAATCTGGTCGGCAGATGCTCCAAAAACCAGCAAGAGGCCCAAGAAATGATGGGGGGGTCAGCGCTTTCCCACTGCCCACAGGGGCTTAGGCACCCGGTGACCCACGGCCAGGACCCACCTGGGTCATGGCACAGCTCCATCAGCCTGGCCATCCCTCCTCCCTGGGACCTGCTGTGCTGTTCTGCCTCTGGGTGTGCTGCCCAGAGCTCCCTGCTCCTCCAAACCAGTCTCTGTCCAAAGGATGGAGCAGTCAGATATTTTGCAGAGCCTCCAGCGTTTATCACACTGTAAATCTGGGCTTTCAGCAGCTTCACGAAGCTGCAGGGAGATGGGAGAGAACAAAACGCTGCTCTGCTCCATCAGACACAGCCTGCGTGTGCCAGGGCTGCCAGGGGCGGGGCCCCCAGCCCCGCTGCAGAGGGAGTGAGCATTGAAGCAGAGGGTTTATGTGGGCAAGGGTCCCCTGGAGTCAAGAGGGGCTGCTGGCACCCCAAGATGGCGATGGCTCAGGGACAGCTGCATTTTGGGGGACAGTGGTGGTGAGGAGGGCTGAAACGTGCCTCTGTGGAACCACAGCAGCCCCTGTCCCCCAGGCATGGTCCCCCAGTGTGGCAAAGCTGCCCACGCACAGTTCCTGGGCACAGTACCCCGGTGTGGACCCAGAGCACAGCAGCTGGGCACTGCCCCCCTGTATGGGCCCCAGGCATGGTGCCCACTCTGGTCCCCCAGAGCAGTGCCCCCCTCACTGGGCTCTGCTGCTGCCTCTGAGCTTAGCCCCGAGCCAGGTTGGGATGCAGCCCAGTGGTCCTGGCAAGGAGCACCAGCCCCCATCCTCGCCCCCATCCCTGTCCCTGCAGCCACTCCACCAACCCCCAGCCCCCAGGGGACCCTGCTGTGATTGCAAAACAAGCGGGGAGGGGAGGAAGCCGGGGCTGGGCTGCTCGCACAGCGCTCGGATGCAGCTGGCAAAGCAAGCCAGGCACAGGGCACGAGGTGGGGCTGTGGGCACGGCCAGGAGCCCCCAGCCCCTGCGTGCCCTCGGCTCCAGCACCCTGTGCAGCCCCTGCCACGTCCCTGCAGGGCCTGCATGAGGGCACACAGGGACCCCGGGCGAGGCAGGGGCTGGCTGGGCCCTGAGCTGCTGCCGCCGAGTGCCTGGCACAGCACAGGGGGACTGGGGGGCCGTGGCAGCGGCTGGAGCCACATCAGAGCGGCCCCCCTGGAGCAGATGGGAGCACACAGAGCTGCCCTCGAAGGAAATGTGCTCACTCCCATGTGCTGCACACTTGGGTTCGCTTCGCTGCTATTTTTATTTGACTTTTCAGGGCCTGTTTCCTTTTTCCGGCTGTTTTTGCTGTGATTCCACCATCACAACGACCTCGTTTTTCCCCCTCCCTCCCTGTTGCTTCTTCCTTCACTCTTTCCTTCCTTTCCATGCACTCATTCCCACTGCCACACCAGGCTCCCAGCAGCAGCTGCCTGTGAGGGAAGGGTAGTAAAGGGAGGTGGTTTTTGCTCTGGTTTATCTGGGAAGGTGCTGACAGGTCACTGAAGGGGGGACTTTGCTCCAGCCTTGATAAAGAGAAAGGTTGGGAGTCACCCTGTCTCAAGCCACCGTCCCCATCCTGTTGGTGCCTGAGCTATCAGGTCCTGCCGTGGCCCCCAGCCTCATCCATGGGATATCAAGTGTCAGTAGGGCTATTTTGGGATGCTTGTGGTTTGTGGAGGGACCCTGGTTGGGATAAGGGAGGAAGAATAAGAAAAAAAACCCTAGGAACTGAACCAGTGCAAAAGCTCCAGTGGGGGCAGCAGAAAGGGCAGTGCTGGCTCCCGAGGAGGAGGAGGATGGAGCTGAGAGGAAGGAGCCCAGGCATTGTGGGGCCAGCTGGGGAGGAGCATGGCTCCAGGAGGGCTCTGGCATTGGGATGAGCTGAGCTGTGGCTCCCTGGCCGGCCCCTGGTGCCAGCCTGCCCCGTGCCAGGGACACAGCATCTTCCAGGGACCCCACAAGAGCAGCATTCCCAGGCTGCACCCCCTGCTCTGACCCCCAGCCAGGGTCCCTGTCCTGCCCCATCGAATCCACGAGTCCTGCCTGCACCCTGCTGCACCCAGGGACTCTGCTGTGCCCAGGGCAGGGAGGGCTCTCCCCCACCCAGCCCTGGTCATGAAGCCCTTCCAGCTCCTCCCAGCGCAATTCCCAGGGGGAATTGCAGGGTGTGGGCAAGGACCCCTGAGCACCCCTTGCCTTTCCCTCCCTGAATCCCCCCTTCCTAGTTTGAACCCCCAGAAACCCCCAGGGAGAGCCGCCCCCACCTCCTCCAGAGCATGTGGGGTACCCCCCTCCCTGCAGCGCTCAGTGCCCCCCTGGGCACGGCCCTGCCCGGCCCGGGGTCGGTGGCCGAGCTCGGGGGGGACGAGGGCCGGCGATGCTGGAGTGGCCATGGGAAGAGCCGGCGTGGGCAGCGCCCGGCTCCGCTCAGCACACGCAGCCCGCTGCTGCCATCTCGTGTCCTGCTCAGCCCCTCGGGGCTGGGACAGCAGCACACGGCCGGAGACGGGCTGGGGAAACTGAGGCACGGGCACGCTGGGGTGGGGGAACTGAGGCAGACCCTCCCGGCTGTTGCTCCAGGGGAAACGTCCTTCCAAAAAAGCAGCTCCTGGTTTCCATCTCCCCACCCCAGGGATGCAGAGAGAGTGAGCAGAGGCAGGATGCCACTGTGCCCTCCACTGCCGTGGGCCTCTGCCTGGGCTTCCATGGCCAGAGCCAGCACTGTGCCGGCTCCATCCACAGCACAAGAGCCCCTGGATCACCAGATAAAGCACCCAAAGTACTTCCAGGGAAGGAGAGGTTTTATTTCTGGCTTCCCAGAGGCTGTTTGCTACCCAACAAAGCAGTGGAGGCCACAGGCAGGGTGCTGGCAGAGCACAGTGACAAGGGAGGATGCCCTTCAGCTCACCCCAGCCCAACCCCACCATCCCTCCCTGCTGGGGCACCCACAGTGCCAAGCACACCCCGGTCCCTCCACAGTGCTGCCTGTCACTGAGGCTGAGTCTTGCCCTCAAGCCCCCACAATGCCTGGCAGTTTTGGATATCAGAACCCCCCAGGCTTCCCCAGGGATGCACCTTTACCTCCCTGTCCACTGAGGGTGCCCGGCTGCTCTGCACATCCCAGCAGTGCCTCAGGGACACCTGTCCCCATGCACAGCCCTGGTAACCTCAGAGCCTTGCAGATCACTGTGGCCTCACCTGCAGCAGAGCCCCCAGAGCAGAGCCATGGCCCCACATGTCCTCTTTCTGCCCCAAAACACACCCATTGTCCTCAAGAGAGCAGCAGGTGCTGCAGGGCCGGGAGCAACTAAGAATCCACACCTCACCTTCTCCTTTTGGTTCTTTCCCTTCTTCTTCCCAGTGTTTCTGGTGCTCCAGGTGTCTGCCACAGCCATCCCACAGCAAACCAACCTGCCAGCCCCAGCCAGGAGTGGTGGATCGGGTGCCTGGGCACGGCTTGGAGCAGGAGGATGAATCCAGCCCTCAGGGCTGAGTCTGTCCCAGCTTCCCAAGCGAGCCGCAGGCAGCCCCGGGGCTGGGGCAGCGCATCCATCCCCCGGCGGGCGCCCAGGGCGTCCCTACGAGTCCCAGGAGGTCTGGCGGGGAGCGTGCAGGGCGTTGAGCTTCTCCCAGCAGGTCGCCAGCCTCTCCGCCTTCCTGCCGATGTCCCGCAGCCGCTGCTGCCTCCTGCGGGCCGGCTGCCGCCGCGGGGCCGGGGCCGTGTGCGCCGCGCTCTGTGGTCCGTGCGCCCGGGGAGGGGACAGAAACCCCCCCACATCACAGAGACATTAGTCAGGGGACAAAAGGCACCGCACACACGGCTGAGGTGGCCAAACTGCCTATGGCCATGGCAAGGACACGGTCTCAGGTCCCCAAGATCCCCCCAAAGGTGGCTGTCCCTGCCTGAGCTGGCAGCGTGCACCCCACAGCACACCCATGGACACCAGAGCAGATCTCCAGAGCAACAGCAGCTCCATCCCACACCAGCAGACCCCAGGCAGGGAGGACAGTCCCAGCCCTGTGCCAGGTCAGGCAGAGCTGGGAGCTGGCATCCACTGCCCTTGGTTTTCCCTGCTGGTTGATGAACTGCTGGTGCTGCCATAGGGATCCCCTGGATGGAGATTCCCCAGCAGAGCCTCGGAGATGCCAGAGGAACCCAGACCAGCCCTTAGGGGAGAAATGCCAATTCTTGCCTATGAGCACTCAGGAGCAAGAGCAGGACAGGGTGAATGCACCCACAGGGTGAGCATCCCACCAGGACAAGGCCCTGTGTTCCCCTCAGCCGTGGCATCATGGCACATGTGGAAAAACCCACTTGGGAGCCAGTGGTAAAACCCCACCAGCCTGGCACACACTGCCACAACTGAACCTCCCTCCCTTGGTTATTCTGAAACTCCCAGGGATAGATGTGCCATCAGCTTTCCCAAGCTCCCAGAGCGAAGCAGGCAGAGCCTGGAGACTCCTCATGGGCAGCCAGGAGAGCACAAACAAGGCAAGCTCTGCCCACAGCCCTGGGAACTGGGAGCCACTGACATGGCTGGGAAGTAGAGGGCTTCCTACCTTGCTGATTTTCCTGCAGTTCTCCCGGAGCACAGTGTTGGTGTTCCTGGCCACCCTCCAGACCGCCAGCTCCTGGGGGCCCTGCAGGGTGCCGGCCCCCACCTCCCGCAGGGACATGCTGATGTTGTAGATGGACAGCAGGATCTTGTGGTCCTGCAGAGGAGAAGCACAGGGCAGGGAGGGAGGCTCCGTGGCTCCCTGGGGGCTCAGCCCACGCCATGCCCCAGCCCCAGGTCCCTCCGTGCTCACCTTGTCTGAACGACAAGCAGGCCCAGCCCTCCCGCTCCTGTACACTGACCCAGTCAGGTTCCTCTGCAGAAACAAAGCAAAAACATCCAGCAGCTCTCAGGATCAGTGCCCCCCACCTGGAGCAAGGATCCCCCATTTTATCACAACCACAATCCCCCATTTAAACAACAAACCCCAACCCTGCTGGCAAAGCAGCCAGCTCCACATTAAGGTTCCCTCCCACGTCCCTGCTCAGGGCTGCATCCAGCCCAGCAGCATCCCCGGGCCAGGGCTGGCCCCAGGCAGAGCCCTGCCTTGGCTCACCAGGTTCTGGAGCTCATGGAAGATGACTGCACGGTACTGCCGCAGGATCTTGGCAATGCTGCACCTCCTGCCTCTGCTCAGCACGGCCACCAGCAGGAGCAGCAGAACAGCACAGGACAGCACCCGGGGGAAAATCTGACAGGGAAGGGCTCACAGTCAGCTGGGGATTAAGGGATGTCCTGGGCTCTGCCTTCAACCCTTGGCAGAATCTCTATAGGACCTGTACCTGAAGATGCAACACGTGATGGAGGAGCCTCAACCGTCTCCTCTCCCAAAGAACATCCTCCCTGATGAGCCATCTCCCCTTGGGGCAAAGCCCTTGGGAAAGGGCTCCAGCCTGAGCCCAGCCCAGCTGCGCTGCCCATGGCACACACAGAGCTCTCTCTGATGCCAGCAGGTGGGTTCTTGGCACAGAGCTATGCCAGGGGCCTGTGTCAGTCTGTGGGGCTCACCCCTGAGCTCTCTGCCCCAACATGGTTCCACTAGATCCCCACCTTGTGCCATTTCAAGGCCAGAGAACCTCGAGTGCCAAACCCCAAGGGGAGCAGAGAGGGAGGTGCTGGGCTCCTTGGAGAGGAGCTGGAGGCAGGAGCTGCCTGCTCCCCACCAGCAACATCCACAGCTCAGCTCAAACTGATCCAAACACCTCAAAGGGATGCTCCCACACCTCTGTAATACAGCATTTTTCCAGCTTCCCTGCAGCTCAGGCTCATCCCAGGCTTGGGGGCCCTCACCACAAGCAGCACAAGCATCTGCTCTCACCAGCACATCCCAGCTGCTGCTGAGCTCCTGGCTCCAAACCTCCAACAGCCCCAGGCTGGCCCCTGCAGAGCGGGGAACCCCAAGGGCTGACACCTGAGCTGGCAGAGGGGCACAGGGAGGGGTGGATGGACCCTCCAAGGCAGGGATGAATCCCACAGCTTTGAAGAAAAGCCAGCACAAGCTCAAGTGACCAGGACTGGGGATATTTGAGCAGCCCAGCAGCAGCAGAGTGAGGATGGGGAGCTCAAAGTTTGTTCCAGGAAAGGAACCCAACAGCTCAACACATCTCCACATTCTGAGCGAGGGCACAGCCCTGGGGCCCCAGCCTGGCATTTCTGTCATTTCGCATTTTCAGGAAAAGTCCCCCCCAAACACAACCCCCTCCCAAACAACCTCATGCTGCAGGTGTCAGGTCTGGGCAGGCAGAAAGCAGCTCAGCTCCTTCCAGCTATGCAACCCCTGTGCTGCAGCCAAAGCGAGGGGGAAGGGGCCACAGCTCTGCCTGCAGCTCTGCCTGCTGCTCCCCACCTCAGCTCAGGGGTCACTGCCTTCCCCAGCACCTCTGCACTTGCTCTTCTGCTCCAAGAAACCATAAGTATTGCCCTCACTGAATTCCAAGCCCAGGCACACTCCATCTGTCCTCTTTGACGAGAACCTGGGGGGTTTTGTTTGTAAAATCCACACCTGCTCTGTGTTCCCTACTCAATCCTGGGCTAGACCTGGTTCCAAAAGGGTGAGGAAACCTTTTCCCATCCTCTTGCAGCCCAGTGGGAGTGATGGAGGCTTAACATGTGGCAAAATTCAACACAGCACAGTTCTGGACACATAGACACAACCATCACCTTGGAGCACGTGCAAAGAGAGGAGCAAACCCAGGTGTAACCTGTAGAAATCCCACTGGGCTCTTCAGCATCCCTAATCACCACAGACCTTCCAGCAGAGCTGTGCTGAGCTCTACCTGGGAGCTGGGAAGGGCAGGGAAAAGCCTCCTTGTGCTGCTGGCTTTGCTCCCTGCAAACCACTGAGAGATCTTGCCCCAGAGGTGATTAAGCAGAGAGCTGAGGGTTTAATCAAAGGAGAGCACTGCTCCCATGAGGACACCCTGACCAAAGTCTAAGGGTTGCTCTCCAGAGGTCTCCTCTGCCAGGAAGGCAAGGCTGTGCAATTTTGCCAAGAAAATGGGAATTACTTCCCTGAAGTGGTGCATTAAACAACTGGGACCCAGTTTTAGGAGAAAGCACACCATTTCCAGCATTCCAACCCAGCCAAGGCTGGGCTCAGTGCTCAGCCCAGAAGGAAGTGCAGAGTAGTCCAGGGAACAGCCAGGGCAGGAGGTCAGCAGGTGCTGTAGGTGCTTCCCCCCACCATGGAAAGCAGGAAAGCAGCAGTGACAAGAGAGGGATGCAGGGAGCCTGAGGTGGCAAATCCTGCTCCCTTCAGGATGGAAGAGACCAAGTTCAGCAGCTGATTTAGGGTTATTCCTTCTGCCTTCACCCCCATCCCACAGCAGCAAGCTACAGGCAGGTGGCACATCCCTTCCTAGGGGAGAGCTGGCAGTGAAGGAGCAGCCTTGGGAAGCACGGGTGCAGGACAGGCACAGCTAATCTCATCCTCACTCTAATCCTCCAGCAAATACAAAGAGATAAGGGGAATCACCATTGTTGATAGAGCAGCTCCTGCTGGCACTCCTGCCAGTCCCAGCCAGCAAAGCAGCAAGGGGCAATTCCTGCTGCCAGCCTGGGAATCCCACCAGGTCCTTCCAGCCAGCCAGACTCTGTCCCCGGGTGCCTCCTACCCAAAGGGACTCTGTCACCTCCGAGAGCCCCAAGGCAGGGATAGACCCTCCGTTCTCTTCCTCAGGACCAGCCAGATCCAACCCCATCCAAACGAGGTCTCAGCCTCATCCCAAACCCAGCAGCCTGATCCCAGCTGGACCAGCTTCCCCGGCCAGACCCCAGCCCCAGCTCAGATCCTTAGAGGGGTCGCGATGGAACAAAGTCCCATTTGGACCCAGCCCAGCCCCATTCCAACTGCTCCAAGCCCTTTCCCAAGTGCTCTGGCCCCATCCCGACCAGTGCGAGCTCCTCTCCCGGTGGATCCAAGCCTCATTCCCGGAGAAGCAGTCACCTCCCGACAGGTCCCAAGCCCCACCGCGGGTGCTGCGAGTCCCACTCCGGCCGAGCCGACCCCATCCCGGCAGCGCGGCGGGCTCCGGTCCGTCAGAGGCTCCAGGGAGGGGTGTCCGGAGAAGAGGAAGGGGGTGCCGGGGACAAGGGGGGGTGTCCCGGGGACAAGGGGGTGTCCCGGCGCACTCACCATGGAGCCCCGCGGGCGCGGCGGTCCCGGGGAGCCCGGTCCGGCCCCGTCCCGCTGCGCCGGGGCCCGCGGTTTGAACTTGGCTCCACGGTGGGAGGGGAGGGGACGGGCCCGGCCGCCGCGGGGGGGACGGGACACGGCACCGCCGCCGGCCCAGCCCCGGCCCCGCGGGGGAGCCCGCCCGGCCCCCCCGGCCGCAGGAGCAGCGGCGGTGCCCGGGGTGCGAGAGGGTCCCTCTGGGCCGGAGGGGCCGGCAGGGCAGGAGCCCCTGCTCGCAGCCACCCGGGGATTCCAACCCACGCGTGTCCCCAGCCCGGAGCTGCACGCTCTGCTGCAAACCCCCGCGGTTTCGATTTCTGTTGGCGTGGGGCGATTCTTTCACTCTGCGTTCACAGACCGCAGTGGGTGAACACTGACAACGGCACCAAGTGACTGTCCAGGGTGAGACCCCCAAAATATCAACGCGAGGAGTGTCCTCGTGCTTCCCACCAAAGCCCTCTCCTCCTTCCCCCTGCATTTTGTACCTCACCCCCAGCCCAGGCACAGAAATTGCCCTGACTCAATTTGTATCAATTTTGGGACAAACCGAACTGACTGCAACAAGGCTCCGCTGAGGAGCTGAATGTGGGTGATTGAGTAAGAAATAGAACAAATGGTGAATAATCCAGCTCTGCTCAGCTTGGTGAGAACGTCCCTCCCCAGGAAGTGGGACCCACAGCACGCTGCAGCATTCCACTGGGACAGGACCCATATAACTTCTTTATTGAGCTCTATATATAGCGAAAATTCATGGGTGCCATAATCCATTTAAAAACCACCAGGACATCTACAAACATCAAAAGGCTCGAAGATTGATGGCCCCTTTTAAGTAAGAAAAAATAATCTCCAAGCTAAGGAACGTAGCCCAAAGGAAAGCTGCAGGTACCAGGAGCAGGTGGCCAAAGGAGCCTGATGTTGTGAGAAGGTGGCACAGTGTCCAGCAAAGGGCCCCGTCCTTGGGGCTTCCACATCCCAAAAATTCCTTGCAAGATGAGATAGTGCCACCTAAGCAAGGGGCAGGGGTAGCATGAGGATCCCATCAGTGGTTCCACCTGTGTTACCTGGCTCAAGGGAAATGCTCCCAAAATAGGTCAGCAATCTCCCCAGCAGGAAAAGCCACACCACTGCAATTCCCAATTCCCCTTCCCATCCCAATTCTGCAGCACCAACTGGGCAGAGGGACTTATGTACCACAAGCAGCCAGCTTACCCCAGCACATCACTACACCAGGAATCAGAATGCCACATTCCTTGCTCAGAAAAGCAGGATATAGCCCCCATGGGAGCACAGGAGGCTGAAAGATATCACACATTGAAAACTACTTTTCAAGTTGTTTTCATCCTGCACTTTCTGCCTCAGTCTTGAATTCTTGTCCAGCCAGGTTCCCTTGCCATGTCTACCCTCTCCTTTGAACATCATCTCCATTCCCCTTCCCAAACTCTTCCACTCTCTTCCAGCAATGGCACAAAATCCCTAAGCAAGAGCCTCTCAACTCCCAGTGCCTCTCACTCACCTTTGGGAAACGACAATTCCATGGGACATCCGTGGAATGTCTACACCCTTTCATCAGCTATTCCAGAGAATGCACATGAGTTTCCATTATGAACCCAAAGAAACAAAGGCTTTTGCTTCCAGACCAACCTGGAAGCAAAAGCCTTTCTGCTCCAGGGTTAAAAGATCCGTTTTTGGCTTCTCATCCATTTTGGCAAGAGGCTGTAGCCCAGCTTGGTGCAGCCAGCACTGGCAGGCAACTTCCCAGAGTGCTGGGAGCCTGATAAGTCCAAAGGTTTCTGCTATCAGACCCCCTCTTCCCAGTCAGAATCAAAGGACAAGACCACACTCGAAGACAACAGAAGGAAACAAAAAAAAGAAGCTGTATTTTATACATATTCTCCAACAAGTAATAAGGGAGTTTCTCCTCCAACTAAATACATGGGATAATGCACATCCACAGACCTGGATACAGCTGCTATAGCCTCAGGTGTAAGACAGTACAGCTTCTCATTCTATATGATCACAAGAAAGTCAGGAGGTTGGGGTAAAAATAGTACACATCACAAGTGTAGAAAATTGAAGACAGTGTACAAAGGGTCCCAAACACAAAGCTTTCCCTCTCTTGAGTTTGCTTTTTTCTATCTGCACTTGGAGGGAGCCATCCCAAACCTCCCAGCCACAGGCAGTCACAGCTGTGTAACAGCACGGTCTCCCAACAACTCTAAATAAATGTTCTTCCTTCAAAAGGGCTTTCAGGGATTGCTGAGTTTTGCCTTGTTACTTCAAACCACCACTGTGCTTAATGAACTCAGATACCTAAAAGAATAAGCTTTACTATATACATTTAAAAATTGAGGAAAAGTTCTCTAAAAATATGCTTTTGAATTTGACAAAATGCTCCAGCTGCTCAGGTTGGAGGAAGACCTCCAAGCTGTGCAGCAGCTTGTTAGCAGAGACCAAACTAAAGCACCTGAAGAAGAGGAGCCAGCCCAGAGCTTTCCCTGTGCTGCTGGGCTGCTCCCAAAACTCCACCCATCTCCTTCAAGGACACTCAGCGTATTCCAACAGCAACAATCCAGACAAGGAACCAACATCAGATGGGCCAAACACTAAAGGGAGACAGGGAACACATGCCAGGGCCAAGAACAGAGGGACTGCCACATGTCAGAACCCATACAAGCGCTAATTAAAGCTTGTGTTTGCAGGGGGAATCAGGAATCAACATGGAAATGCCAACAGAGCCTCACAAGACTGCTCCTGTCTCCTGTGTGACACCAGCTACAATGTTCCCATGTGCTGCAGAAGCTGATGGCCATGCTGGGGAAAGAAGGAAGCAGCTTTTCCTTTTGGGAGAAAGCTCCTTCCTATCATCATCCATGTCCTGTCCTTCGAAATCTGTGCCACTGAAAGGGCACCACGAGCAGGTTGAGTCCTACAGGGACCTCTGGGGCAGCTGAGGCCAGCACACTCTAGAAGGTATTTTTCAGCTTGGCTGCCACCAGCACAAGAATTTCTCCAATCTTTTTCTGCCAGTTCTCTATGTCCTTGGAGACATCACACCAGAGCTCTCCGTGGCGAGGTTCAGCATTCTCACAGCGCTTCCTCACCTCTTCTTGTTGCTCCTACAGGGAAGAGAAATTACAGTTTGTCCTGGTTTGTTCCAGAACACAGCTAAAAATTGAACTCTCTCTGATTCAAAAATTCTTCCAAAGATTATGGTGGGGTTTGGGGTCTGTTATTTTCAAAGGAAGTCCATGTCAAAATTCAGAAGCAGCAAGTCTCCTGCCTGGCTGAGCTGCAGGTAAGCAAGCTTTGGCTATTGCAGAGAAACTGCAACAGAAACTTCCTGTGCATTACCACCTGCAGGAGCTGTGTCAAGTGAAAGGTCTCTCTGAAGTCAGAAGATAAACACCCCCATCATTTCAGCAGTAAAAACTGCTGTAAGAGATTAGAGTTGGCTGTTCCTCTGGCTGTGTTCACGTGCAACCTGTACTCAACACTTGGGAAGAAACAGCCCCAGTTACACAAACCCAGCACCGCAATTCCAGCACAATCCCCTCTGAGCAAGCTTGAGTTTTACAAGAGGAAGATTCATTTCAGAGATTTTTGCATGAACCAGCAGAACTGTGGACAGCAAAGCGGCCTGAAACACAGCTCAGCTAATGACAGCACCTTTGAAAAGCCACCACACAGGCCTGTTCATGCTCCTTCGTGACCAGGCGTGACACCCGGCCTCCCCTGTGACCACACAGGCAGGAGCAGTGGCAGCGTGCTCAGCCCAGCACTGCAGCAATCCCAGGACTGGGCAACCCCTGCCAGCCAGGGATTGCTGCTGCCTCCCCTGTTCCCAGGCACACACTCACCTCTGTGCCGTGCTGGAGCTCAAATTTGTAGAAGAAGGCCCAGGCATCCCCCAGGTCAGAGTCGATCTTCACCGTGCGGTGGAACCACTCTCTGGCCTTGGTTATTTTCCGCTCGCTCCAGAACAGCCTGGTGGGAAGAGCAGAGGGGAGCTGACAAACAGCCTCACTTTAGAGGAACAGGGCAACCCACAAGAGCTCCGGCTTAAAGGCTCTGCAGGTGTTCCAGTTCTCTGCTCTCCCAGGAAGTAAACAGCAGATTTTTAGGCAACTTGCAGACCATCCTGCCCCTGGGAAGGGAAGGGAGTGAGAGGACTGAAAAGAACATCCAGCACTTCCCATTCACTGCCTCACACTGAGGCAGGACAACTTAGAGGATAACTCAGCCCCAGGCACAGACAGGCTCTGCTGAGAGGGGAAGCATTACTGAGCTCCACCTTTGCTGCCTCAATTGCTTTAATTTTGCTGTTCTAGATTTGGTGTTGAAGGGACAGGATTACATGCCTACATCTATTCCAAATCCTTCAATTTCTTTACATTTCAAGTCAATTTTAGCATCTAATAATTAAATAACTTATAAAAGCTGGTAACTGACTGCTGTATGGTCACATGCTCACATATACAAAGCCTGCTGGAGTGAAGTGGAGCAGACCTGCCTTATCAGCCCCATTTT